GATTTCATCGTACTTGATACGTGAGATGTCTGAAGAATTCAAGTATTTGTATGGAACTTGGTAAAGTTTATACTTTTTAGGGGAAAGTATAAAGAAAATATAAATAAAGTTCAAGTTTTATCGATCAGAAGGTAAAATGCTACTTACAACTAGTTGTGATATATATTATAAAGCTTGAGGATAGAATAGGACATGTTTCGAAAGCTCCCTGAAAAAGCTCTCACATCTTAAGAACATTTTCGAACATCTTTGGCTCGTTCCAACTACTGATGTCCCATAGGGGTGTGCCAAAATCGTCATAACAGTGTCGATAATGATACTTATTATTATAATTTTCAATTTTTTTTATCATCACCTACTAATCCATTATTTTTATCATGATTGAATTTGTCGCCTAAATTCGAAAACAAGTCGATAAACGAACGTGTGCAATATGTAGATTTTGTTCGGAGATAATTCGATCGGTTGCGTAAATCGACACTCGATTTGACCTTAGAAATTATATTTTATTTACTGATAAAAAATATGAACACTGCGTCTTATCAGCGAATTTAAATTACGACACTCGGCGAAATTTGCAGAGATACGAATGCAAAAATCATATGCCACCGGGAAATGGATATAAATTCAGAACAGGCACATTGCAATGTCGATATTCAATTTAATTGTAAAATTTAGACAAATTTCAGACATTTTAATAAATTAAGACTGTTATAGAAATAAGTCAGATCGATGAATTGTACCAAATTTTTTTTTTATATTGTTCATGGTTTTATCTACCAAACTAAAATATTATAGTCCTACGAAAAGTGGTTCAATTACATATATTTTTACATATTGGAATTGTGCTCTTAGGACATACACCATGAATGTTGTTCATTTAAATACTTATGAACATACATAAATTATAAAATATTATCAAAAGTGTAATTACTTATCATAATTGTAAATACTTATCGGAAAGTTCATGCAACTTCTTACTACTTGTTAAATTATAGTGATAAAACCCATATAATTAATTTTTCATTATTATTTATTCATGTTTACGAATTAATTTATTAATAACCGTATATAATAAAATGACTAAAAACTAGCTGTAAGTGGAATTCTGTCTTGAGGCAATTATGGCATCGTGCCATAAGGCAAATTGCTGGAACTTCCCGTACCGTAACGAAATGTTCGAGGAATACTGAATGTTTTCAAATAGATTATTATAAATATTGTAACATTGCCTAATATTTATAAGAATTATATAAACTGAATTGCAGAGTTGAAATTATTTGTATAGTATATTAGAACTATAGTCAGAATTAAAAATAAAAACTGAAATATTTTCGATATACAGAAAAAAAAAAAAAAAAAAAAGTTGGTACAAAATTTTTTTTGCCAAAATCAATTACTTTGTTAAGACAAGCAGAAAGTTCTTTGAATCATTTAAATCGGACGCTTAGTTCCCTCAAAAACTGCCATTTTTTAAAAATTTAGCTCCGTATCTTCGGAATGGTTGGGTCTGCCTTTGCCAAAAACTAATAAACACTTCTCCCAATCATTACTAATTGAATGTTTTTTAGATCATTCAAATCGGATACTCCGTTCTCTCAAAAATTCGATTTCTATTTTCTGCACTCTTTGCTCCGTATCTCCGAAACGGCTGGACCTGCCTTTGCCAAAAACTAATCAGCTCTTTTCCCTATCAATAGGAATCGAATGTTTTTTGAACCATTCAAATCGGTTGATCCGTGCGCCCTAAAACGTGACTGGAAATTTGTATCCATACATACATACACACACACACACACACACATACACACACACACATCCATTTTTTCTGAGGTATGCCAAAACGTTCAGAAACCTTCAAAACGTCGAGAAATGTAAAAATTTTCAATTCCGATTTTCGGCCCATTACAATAACTTACCCAACGGGAAGTTAAAAATGTAATGGGCTTACAAAAATAATATTAATTTGTATTTTATATATTTGATATTTTAATTTCTCGGAGAAGTTTGTTTTCCCCAAAAAATTCGATTACCAATTTTATGTTTACTTCTGGACGTTTCGAGTTATTCTGAATCAAACGAGACCAAATTTGAATAAAATATGTGTAATTGTGTTTATGTAGTTTATGATGTGTTTAAAATTGTATTATTAATTATATTTTTTTAAATAGTTAGTGTCAGATATTAAAATCAGAAAGGCATGACAGTGTTCATTAAAAGTCAAATCGAATTAGATTTTCTTGAATTATTCATTGGAATAAATTAATATGGAAATGATTATTTATAGGCTGATGATAGAGTGCGAACAAGTGTATTGCGCAAATATCATATGTAGTAAATATATATATATATATATATATATATATATACACATATATAATGCAAAGTAATCATATGCAAAAAGTGACAAACGAGCTAAATACCAATATGGCAATTACAAAGTGGAAAAATACACAACAAACTCTATTTATGAGAGTAAAATAATAAAAAGTGTCCACTGTTACTTTTCTAACGACAAAAATTTTTGATTTTTTTACTGACACATATTGTTTTTTTCCAAATATCTAAATTTGACATTTAATAATAATTCAATATTTCAAATATAAGGTTGTCAAATATCTCCCTTCCGCCTTTTTGTATTATAAACAAAGAGCAAACAAGCGGAAGGGAGATATTTGACAACCTAATATAATATTTGATATAATTAGTTGAAATTAAATTTTTCTTTATCTCGTAAACCTTAGAATATATTTATTTCTTTTTGAAATTGCCAACATCATTTGATTTTTTGACCTGTGAATATTTTCTTCTGATATATGATTAATGTAATTTTTCTATAAATTGTGATTTATTCTATCTTTCTGCTAATATTTAAGCAAATCAAATGCAAATCAGAAATCGATTTATCTCGAATTTTCCAGAAACATTGACCACTATCATTTTAAAGTATTTTGTTTTCTTAAAATTCATAATTGTCAAAAGTAATTAAAATTTCTAAAATTTTAATATTTCAACTATGAGCTGAAATTTTCAATATTGCCTATAACCTAAGTGGGACATAAATGCACACAGTGAGTCAATAAAATTTAAAATCGGTTCAGCAGTTTAGGAGTCCATTCCGAACAAACCTTTTGACAAGTACTTCAAGATTTCTATAATTTAAAGTAAAGAGAAATATCAATTTATAAAACGAGAAAAGCTAATAAATAAAAATTGTAAATTTTGAATAGTATAACTTGAAAATGTTTTTTATTTTGAGCCAATATTAGGTAATATTTAAAGAGCAATTATTAATTTGCAAAATAATATTGAAAGTTATGAAATTAATTTAAAAAAAATAATTTCTAAATTAAAGCAACAAAATTTATTCTCTTTTTAAATACAATAAAATCAAATATAAAATTATAGAAAAAACCTGAATAAAATAAAATAAAACTTTAAAATTTTAGTAATAAAAAATTATTTGGCTTAATTTTTAATATTAACCGACAAGTTTTTTGTGTTATTACATAGCATTATTTTTCATTACAAATTTAAATTTATTAATTTGCTATAGTGAAAAAAATTATCAAGAAACAGCTACCATAAAAAATATGTATCGAAATTAATTTTAAATAATATAATTTTTTTTTTTAATTGTGAACCTCTTTGTTTTTTTAAATACACTAAAAAATACATATCTAAATAAAATCAAATTATACATTCTAAAGTTTATATTCAAATTTAAAGTTCATTATCAAAATTTTTATAATTCTGAATTAATATTTTTATATTTAAATATTATAAATTGACAAAACATATCTAAATAAAGTTTATAGATTTTAAATTACTTACTTTTTTTTAAATTTTGAAAAAATATTTAGTGAAACTTAAAAAACAATTATTAACCATTTAAACTTAAATAAAAAAAAAGAAATAGAGAATGAGAGAAAAAATAGGTAAAGAGAAAAACAAATAAAGAGAGAGAAAAATAAATAAAGAGAGAGAAAAATGAATAAAGAGAGAGAAAAAAAAATCGAGAACAAGTAAGAAATATTATTATAGAAAAAATTGGCTAATTATATCGCAAATTACAAAGAATTGATGTTCTATCAAATTTAAAAAAATTATGTTAAAATAAGAAAAATAAAAATGTTGCATATTTGGAAAAAATAATAAAATAGCATGAATTTAATTTAGATCATGAGAAAAATAAAAAATTTATCTCGTTTGAAATTTAATATTAACAAAATTTATTATAATTTTTAGTACTGTTCTAAGTTACAAAGGCGACTTCTGACACAAATTTGATTTACCATATTTTTTTTTAATTTTGATGAATTTTTAAAATTAAACTTCTTGTCGTAAAGGTAATATTTCAGTGTGTTTTTAGAATAATGATACTTATCAATATCGAAGTTTCATCGAAAAAAAACTGTTAATTGTTATATATAGATATTATATTAATGAAGTAGATATTATAGTCAAATGAAATGTATATATTATATGAAAACTGTTTTTCATAATCTCTCATACCAGGCAACTCTGCCTGACTGAGATATGAAAATAATGTATATATATATATAAATAAATAAATAAATAAAAAAAAAAAAATTAAGAAGATACATCGCATGGCTTTTAAATTTTTGAAATCGAATTAGCAGTTTTTTTGAAAAAACGACGATTTAAAGTAAGAAATCTGTTCACACACACATACTTTTTCCAAATTTGGTCTCATTCGATTCAGAATGGCTGGAAACGTCCAAGAGAAAACATAAAATTAGCGAATCGGATGTTTTGATGAAAACATAAACTTCTCCTTCGGGAAGTTAATAAAAAAATTGAAAAATAATAAAAATCAAGTAAAAAGTCCACATAAAAATTTATACCAATTTTTCAAAGTTTTGAGAACCAAAGTATGCATATGCTGAATTGTGCATATGCTTCAAATTTAATATATTTTTCTGCACTTTTATAAATAAATAAAACATAAACAATATAATTTTATATCCTTATTTTACCTTTTATATTTCGTCTTCCCTAAAATCTAAAAATCCGTCCCTATAGCCGGCGCCAAAACCTCCAGAAAGCGCACACGTGTCCGCGCGTCCGCAGCAAAAATCACTAAATTCCTTACAAAAACGACACCAAAGGCACTTGTTTATTACCAGGCACTAATAAAATAAATACAACAACGGTAATAATTTAAATATATATTTTTTTGAATTTTTTAACACTATATATTCTATAATTATTTCGCGTCCATCGCGGGCTGGTTTTCGATCAGAACTGAAAACGAAAAAGACGAAAGACGACCGAGTTGCAGAATAGAATGGAGGGACGACTAAAACGATACGACTACGAGACACTAATGCTCAAATAGAAGATGTTTTATGTGTCGGAAATAGAATTATGTGTGTGTGAATTTGTTGTGCGAAGGTTTTCTGAAGGGATATATGAGAGTAAAGGCGAGTTTACAATTTACAAAGTCTAAGGGTATAGTCGAGCTTTGGAATGAATGAAACTAATGGGAATTTAAATATAGTTAGTGAGATTGAATTTTTTGCTTTCATTTTATTTATCTACTTAAGTCATTTAATACAAAATAATTATTATAATTATATTTAGAAAAGTGTATACACGATGTCAGAGAGAGATAGAAAAATAAATTAAGAAAGGAAGAAATAAAGTACGAAAGAAACATAATAGGAAAGAAAGAATTTCTGAGAGTGAAAAAGATACAAAGAGATAGAGAAGCAAAAAAAAAGTCAAAGAGAAACTAGTGGGGCGCATGGCATCGTGTCTTAAGGCAAATTGCTGGAACTTCCCGTATCATTTTTTTTTTTTTTAAAGATTAACATATAAAAAAAAAATTACTCTGAAAAAATTTGATTCTTCAGAAACTATAAATTTTTGACAAAAATTTACTTTTTTTGAAAAAAGGACCTTTTGAAGAAAAGTGTATTTTGAAATATTTTGGAAATTCTCAACTTTTTTTCAAAGCAATCGTGCTGTTTTAACTGCATAAAAACGAAATATTGAAGCGCGTAAACGCCGCGTCGCCGTCTATCGGATCAACATTGGTACGGCACCGATAAGAATGTAAGCAAAATTTATACTTATTGTCTCTATAAAATATCTGATAATTAATGTGCATATATCCAATGATCATTTTTGACCGCCAAATGGCTTTTTTTTCCTTTTTTCACTAGATCTCCGAAACCGCTAGACCTGCCTTCATAAAAATTTGATCAATTCTTCATCTTGTCAATACAAGTGAAATGTTTTTTGAATTATTCAAATTGGACGCTTCGTTCTCTTAGAAACTGTGTCACCGTTTGTTGCACTTTTTGCTCCGTATCTTCGGAACGGCTAGACCTGCCTTTGCCAAAAACTAATTAGCACGTCTCTTTATCAGCAGCAATCGCATGTTTTTTGAATAATCGAAATCAATTCAACCGTTTTCCCGAAATCGTCGACGAAAATAATCAAGGATACTAATTAAAAACTTGGAAAAAACTAATGAGCGACATTTTTCCTTAAGTCAAAAAGATTAAAAATTTTGAAATTTAAAATTTATAAATCCAAGTTCGAATTTTTATGACGAAAGTGAAAGGATTCAGCGTGAAAGAGCCAGAAAACAAATAGAGAGAAATGTAGAGTAATAAAAGTTAAGTAAAAATAAAGCAAAAAAAATAGCAGAGAATAAAGAAAAATAATGAAAAATAAATGGAGAAAATAAAAAAGTTAGAAAACGGAGAATCATGGAAGTGAAAATTTTTAGTATGCAAGAACAGGAAAGAAATAGAAAAACAAATAATAAAAAACAAATAACAAAGTAATAATAATAAAAGAACGAGATAGAGAGAGATAAACATGAAGTGAGAAAAAATAGATAAAGCGAACTTGAGAAACAAAAAGAGAAAGAGAAAATAATATGGATAAGGTGTATAGAAGGGAAGAGTATAGAAAAAAAGACAAAAAGAAATATATATAGAGAGAAAGAAATATATAAAAATGAGAAATAACTACAGAAACAGATAGAGATAAATAAAGTGAGAAAGGAAGAGAAAAAAAGAAATAGGAAATAGAAAAGAGAAAGATATCGGTAGAGAGAAAAAGAAATACAGAGAGAGAGAAATAGATAATGTAGGAAAAAGTTAGGCAGAGTGAGAAAGGAGTAGAGAGATAAAAAAAATGAGAAAGAATAGAGAGAGAACAATTTGAATAGAAGTAAAAAGATAATGTGAGAAAGAAATAAAACTAATTTTAAGAAAAGCGTAAAAAGAGAAAAGAGCAAGCAAAAAAGGAAGAATAAAGTGAGAAAGGAATAGAAAAAAAATTAAAGTGAGCAAGAAATATAAAAGAGAAAGGAATAGATAAAACGAGAAAGAAATTGTAAAAGTGGGAATAGAGAGTAGATAGAGCAAAAAAATGAAAGAGGTAGAATGTAGATAGAGCAAAAAAAGTGTATTGATAAAGAAACACAGAGAGAAAAAATGAGTGATGAGAGAGAAAAAAATCAAGAGCAAATAATAAATATTATTCTACAAAAATACATCCATCATATTGCGAAGTACAATAATTAATATCACATCATATTTTAAATGTCATTTAAATTTATGCTTGAAATACTGTAGAATCTAATGAGTAAAATAATTGAATGGAATGGAAAAATTAAAAAAGCAGCAGGAATTTAATATAGATCAATATCAATCAAGATTTATAGCAACAATTTTGAGAATGAAATTATTCTATCTAGTTTGAAAATTATAGAAATGCTGAATTATAAATTATATATGTTCACATGAAAATACCAAAAAAAAATTATTTTTGCTTTCACAAAAAACTTATCAATTTTTCGCACAGTCAGCATAAACAAAATGTTTTTTGAATCATTCTAATCAGCTGATCCGATCTGTCATTTTTTTGCGCTTTAAGCTCCGTCTTGCCGAAGCGACTGCAACTGTCTTTAGCAAACGTAAATTACCACCTCCTCAACATTTCGAATCGAATGGTTTGAAAAATCAATATACAAATTTCAACTACACATTATAAGTACAACTGACAGTGAGAGTATTTAATTCTATTCCACTTCGATTGTGAACGTGCCTTATTTTTGTCCAAAATGTTGGAATCGCGCCGGGTCGGTCGTCTGCCGAAATGTATTTTTTGTGTATATTCCAAGAAGGCGAGACGTCGACCTACACACATGCAGAATAATCAGTAGGACGAAATAGAATAGAAGCGGTAGAAACTGGATATTAGTACATACTTTATATCTATGTATATATATGTAGTGTGACTTTGTATGAATGGTGGTGGTGTATAATAGTACGTCGAACGTACGTACTACGACTACTAAGGCGCATGCGCATGAAGACAATCGCAATATTGTATATTGTAATGAGGTTTCGGATCATGCTCACGCTCAATGCTCAACGCTCACGCTAAACGTGGATATAGTAGTGATTGCGATTGTGAATGTACGCGGAGGCACCTTTGTGGCATATTTTACAGGGGCGAACTGGAACAATAGAGTCGCCAATATATTTGTATTTATGCTACAACTATTTTTATGACAGTAACAGAGTTGTTACTACTATAAAATAATAACTAGCGGTGTATTGCATCGTGCCTCAAGGCAAATTGCTGTAACTTCCCGTAATAAAAATTATTTTTTTTAAAAAAGATTAACATTTTTACAAACTTTGAAAAAATTAGATTTTTGTGTAATTTTATATTTAATTTAAAAATTTAAAATTATTAAAGAGGAATTTTTTAGAAAAATGTTTTCTTTTTTTTGAAATATTTTGGAAATTTTAAACTTTTTGTCAAGGCAATCGTACTGCTTTAGCTGCATAGAGACGAAATATCAAGGAATAAAAATGTAAACAAAACTTAAACGTATTATTGGAATTTCCATAAAATATCTGATAATTTGATGTGCATATGTCTGCATGATCATTTTTGACCGCCAAATTGCATTTTTTTTCTTTTTTCACTAGGTTTCCGAAAACCGCTATACCTGCCTTCTCAAAAATTTATTCGATTAGAATCGGACCCTCCATTCTCTTAAAAACTAAGTTTCTTATCAATAGGAATCGAATATTTTTTGAATAATTGAAATCGTTGGAACCGTTACCGAAATCGTCCACGAAAATTTGTATCCGCACATACACACATACATATACATCTATTTTTTCTAAGGTATGCCAAGATATTCAGAAACCTTTGAAACGTAAAGATATATGAACATTTTTATTTTCGATTTTTTGCGATTACTATAAATTATCCAACGGGAAGTTAAAAAGTATGTATAGTAATAACTCCCTTTGATGAGTTTTAGTAAAACGTTAACACAAATTTTAGAATGATACCTAACAAAATATTACTAAAACCTAAAGCAAATTGCTGAAACTTCCTGTACAGTATTTAAAATTTTTAAAATGCTTGAAAATTTTTTTAAAAAAAAGATTGTTATGAGAATTTTGATTTTATTTTGAACATTTTCGATGTTTTATGAAAATTTTGAGAAAAAATCGAAATCTTTTTTAAAATTTCTAAGAAAATTACTTACTTTTTTTTAAAATCGATTTTAAAAAAAAATTGAACATTTTCGAAAAATTGACCTTCTTGCAAAACTTGATTTTTTTAAAAATCTTGAAACATTTGAAACCTATTCATGTCGGTTGAATGGCACTATTGAAAATGTCGAGGACACTTGTTTCAAATATACAAATGAACTTGTAAACCTTATACCTTATACATCTTGGTACGGAACCCATAAAAACAAAATTGGTACTTATTATTAAAATCTCTATAAAATTTGACGTACTTATGTGTATTAATATTTTTTACCGCCAAATGGCTTTTTTTGTTGTTTCTCCACAACAACTTAAACTGCCTCTCCAAAAATATAATCAGTTCTTCATTTCGTCAATGCAAATAAAATGTTTTTAAATCATTCAAATCGGTTGCTCCGTTCTCTCAAAACTGAATTGCCATTTTTTGCACTCTTTATCCATCTCCAAAATGGTTGGACCAACTTTTGTCAAAAACTAATCAGCACATCTCCCCATAATTCAGAATAAAATGTTGTTTGAATCTTTCGAATCGATTGATCCGTGCCCTTTGAATCATTAACAAAAATTTGTATCCGCACATACGTACACTCACACATACATCAATTTCTTCTAAGGTATGCCCTTGCTAAAATGTTCAGAAAACTCTGACTTCCAGTGAGAAGTTAATAATAGAAACTCCACTTCGGAACATTTACGTTTGATTTTAAATCAATTAGTGCT